CCCCCCCCCCCCCCCCCGTGTGTGTTTTGCTCGAAACGCATCGATTATTGGGAAATAATGGGCGCAATTTTGTGTTTTCATTCGCCAACAGCTGTCGGCTGATCTGATCGACCAAACAGGTTTTTCTGCTGTTCGACGAGCGAAAATCAATATTCGAATGTTGCTTTTCGAAAAGTTTCGCGACAGCCTTGCGTGAGTTACCTCCGAGTATATCTTCGACAGCTTCTTGGTTCTCTCTACTTACACCAGGTGCACAAAGGTGACGTTTCATGCGATATCAATTCTGTGGGAAACTCATCGTCTTTCAAACATCCAAATGTTGTTTGTACCCCTTACGTAAGCTACGCGAGACGAAACGCGCCGAGCGTTGCACGACTGCGACGTAGAGAAGAATCGGATCGATGTAAGGAAACGGCACGCGACGAGTTAAGATACACGAATTCCCATCCAATATATGTAAGATTCCAATTCTATTCGAATACACGCATCGCCGATTGTGAGAACGCGACACGTGTAGATACAGATGCGGATTTTCAACATGTATCTCACGACTGTGAATCGAATGGATCATCTTATCGTGCGACTCGCTGTATATTTCCAACCCTATTGTGCCTCGACTTCTTCGAAATTTCCCCCCGCGCCCGTGCACGCGAAAGAGAAAGAAACAGCGTACGCATAACAATTGAGAACAAATTCGGAAAACAATTTAGAAAGACATACTCCGAATAAAAAAAAGAAATTGGACATTCGTGGCACAAAAAAAGATTTCAAATATCTTCTCTCCGTGTTTGATCTCGCGAGTACGGATATCTAACCGACGAGTATCTAACCGTTCTTCGAGCGGTCAATTAAGAAAATGGCACTGCCTCGTCGACCATCGGGGAAAGTAAAAGAATTCAAATGAAGCTATATAGGGCGTCTGGTGGTACGGTCCTGGCCAGGTCCTCCCGTTTTATATCTAAAGGAGCTATATAGAGTAGCCTGGAGCCAGTGCCGTCTACAGGCTCGACCCTGTACTACGTCAGTGCAGTCGCCACTTGCCTCAAAAGCATATCGTGTCTTATCAGCCAAAAGCTTGCCGTTTCCAACCATCGAAATCGGCGACACTCGGTCGACATCTTTGTCCGCAAGTCTCGTAAGTAAGCCTCGCAATCCTTCCTCTCGTTTACGGCTGATTCATCGCCTCGAAAGAGATATTCGCTCGTCAGGTTTTGCCGGATGAAAATCGTGAAAATTTGTGAGAGAAAATAGAAAGAAAGAAAAAGGCGGGATTCAAAGTGGATTGAGCCTTGACCTTAGCCTTTAGTCATTTGCATGCAAACACACAGCCGTATTGTTCGCTTCTCCACAGGCCGGCGACAATAAGGCGCAAGAGAGGGGTGGCGAAGGGGGAGAGAGAGAGAGAGAGAGAGAGAGAGAAAAAAAAATAAAAGAAACGGAAAGGGGGGAAAAAACGCGTAATGCGGCAGAATGCGCGAAGGAGGTCGATAACATCGCGCGCCCGCGCAATTCTTGCGTTCCTTCCGTAGACGAGCGGGTGGGAAAAAAAAGAAAACAAGTCGAGGGAGAGAAAGCAAGGGGTTCCGTGTGCGTGCGGCCGTGGACTGCGTGAAATAACAGCGTGAACGAGATATAACGCGTGGAGAATCAGCCTGCTGTCTCTCGGCTAGGAAGAAGGCTAGGCGTTGCGTATTATTGTTTCGACGTGGTGAGTACCTGGCCCCGGGACCGAGGACGAATTTCCGTGTTATCGATCAGCTGCGAGAGACACGCTCGCCGACGTATCCGTACGCACGATCACCTGCACCCGGTGCATTGGTCGCGGACATTGCTCTCGCAACCTTGTGCAACCCTAAGTGCGCTATCTAGTGACATTGTGACCTGTATGGCATGGACGTTAGACGAGCATATCTCTGCTGTGTGAGAATTGTTGTGATACAGGGTTGTGCTAGAAAATTTGTTTTCAAGCCACGATTCTCCTTTCACGACGTCCTCCTGCGTGTTCAGAGTTTAACTTTCTTAGTTGAAAATTTAGTTGCTGGTGTATAATCTCCCGTGTAAATTTTTCCACTCCAATGTGATACAGAGCAATAGAAAATTTAAGAAAATAATTACTCCGTTGCAATGACGCCTGATCTAATATTACTTCATATTTTTAGGTTTTAACGTATAAGTTCGTTTGCAGCGTTTCGTTATTTATTCTGCTCAGTTTCCACTTTTACCGCTGAACTACCCCGCGCAGCTATTACTCCGAAATTAAATTCTTTGAGGAATTTCATATTTCCCCTTCTTTCAATTAACAGATCGATTCAAGCTGTTTTCAATTAAAAAAGTTTCGTAAAAAGATTAGCCGGTAAAAAAAGTTGAAATTATTTGTACAGATGGAAGTCGCTCTCTGAGAAGTTCTGTAATTAATACTTATCTCTTGTTAAACGCATAAATATTAAAATATTTTAATAGTTTTATTAAATGATATTTCTCATAGATGTATGTTACAATTAAATTGATAAAACAATTTAGTTTAGTATAAAAACAATATGGCGGAATGTAATAAGTAAAAATTTTCGAATAACGACAGAATTTTAATAAGTTTTTATAAATTATATTTATAAGTTTCTGATATCATAATATTGCCATGTTTGCCATTCTACGAATTCTCTTGCCTCTACTCTACAATTAAACGATCATTCTACATACATGTGTAAACGCGAATGCAGCAGATGACAGCTTTCGTAACGGCGTAATTAGTTTCCTTTCCGAGCTAATGCTCGAAATTTTGGGATTCGAGAATTGGTCGGCTGCACTGTTCCTATTTGATTGTACAACGTGTACATAAACAACATCCTGTATGCACGCTTGTGCTTCTCTTTCAATCAATTGTCCCCGCCCAAATGTCACTACTTCAGGGAGAGACTATGTATGTCCCGGAAAGTTGCCTATTTCGATCACTTCGAAATAGCAAAAGAAGTCATCGACAACGTCTGAGATTGATTTTCGTTGATATTCTAATATTTGTGTCGCTCGATGACTGATAGAACTTGATAAATTTTCGAAAAATATGAATTAGGCTTTGAAAATGGACCGGAAGGTTTCTATAAGGAAACGAATAACGAATCTATAAAAGTTGACTCCTGGTCTTCAGTTATCTCGAATGAAAAAAAAAAAGAAAATAGACACAATTAACTTATTAACAAAAATGTATAACGGCAGGATATAAAAATTTATCCGTGTATCCTTTTGTTGTGCAAATCTACTTCGATGGACAAATATCGAAGATATTTTTAATCGAAATGAACAAATGGAAGAGGTATCGCGGATCGATCGCGATAGGGGACAATCACGATAACAATGCCATTTATTATTCTGGACTTTATTGCACGTCACTCTAGCATTCCAGTACCGTTGACTAACCGGAAACCATCGCTTGAAGTTTCCTTGACGTGTTCTGCAGGCTTACTGTTATTAATCATTGCATCCTGCAATGTTTCATTTTATATTGATTTTATTACACGTAATTATTACTACATCATTTATTTTATTTAATGAACAATATAGATAATTTTTTACATACGTTATAAAGCTATAATTATCTTTCAAGTTGCAAAGCTAGAAATAAAATAAAAATTAAATCAAGAAAGCCAAGAAAAACCTTGGCTAACGAGGTGTTTGAAAAAAATAGTTTGTAATTTATATTTTTCTCTGAAGAACTTCCCATTTCACGGTATCAACTAACAATTAACAGGAAAATATAATTAAATTAATAAAGTATTTAGGAATTTGTTTAAGTATTATTTGTTTAACTTTGTTAGGAAACCGTGTCATACAAATGCACGGGTGAAGTGGCATGAGTTACGAAAATGGCACGTTTCCTTTTTTGTGCTTTTTTTCCCTCTTGTTAGGCATGGCGCTACATCGAGGAGCTACAAAACGCTGTCTTCACGACGTTGGTAAGGTAACTCGACAGCAGAACAGGCAATGGATTCTATTTTGGAGTACAAAGAGTTTCGGTCGAAGTATAAAAAGAATCCAAAAAACATGAGACGAAGTGATGCTGCCCATATGGTTCTCCTGTGTTGCTCTCATTTTTACTTTCCTTTAATCTTCTTCTTATATACGTATAAATAAATCGATCTCACTCTTAAAATATTGTTTTGCACTTGTAGAAACATTAAATAAAGCTTTTTCTTTTTATACATAATCATATAAGGTTTTTTTCCTATCGAAAGATATTTGAATGAAGAAGTGTAAGAAATTTTGTTTTTTTTTTCTATTCCAGAAGAATCAAAACGAAAAAGAGCGGACAGCGGCAGGGAATTCGGCGTACAACTCTTCGGACGACATCTATTTGGACGACCAGGAGTTTTTGGAGGGTTCTGGTCGAGGAGGCAGTGAAGGTCGCGACACTGAAGCATCCGGAAGTGGCCTTGGTCCGGACGACGAGGACGGTGACGACGATCACGGTACATTATATTTTAATTACAGTACATTCTATATAATTTTATCCAAAGTTCATAAACACTTATTAGTTCCTTCCCCATCATTCAATAATAAGTACTCCGTCGAAATTTCAAGTTAAAGAATGTAGCGTTGATTGTCAACTTCACTATGTAGAAGATTCAGTCATAATGAAATTATCGCTCCAACAAAAATCTACAAAAGTAGAGCAGCTAGTTTTTAATTTCTGCGCGTCGGGAAATCCCGAGAAATTCAATATTGATGAACCTCAGATCGAGCTAGAACTCACAATTAACTTCCATTGTGAGTGTTTCAGCTTAGAGGCAACAGAGAAAAAAGAATTTGAGTATTTTGGCTGCGAAACAATCGAGCACCATCGGGGCTTTTTTTCGAAAAGCTACTCATCCGTACGGATTCCATCGAGCAGCCCCTTCCCCCTCCCCAACCAGAGATCGACAGTACCAAAGAGTTCCTCTCCGTTTTGCTGGAAATTTTTCAATAAAAATCCAGCATGTGGAATGCATTGTATATATACGGTACACCAACGATGCGCGCATCACACGATTCCCAGAAACGTTTTCTCTTTTTTGTCTCTATTTTTCGAAAATTGCCAAGCTGGAAAAACCCTCAGCGTTTTATCGCTCCCCCTTCAAACCTGATCTCTCGATCATTCGAACGATCATCTTTAATTCGTCGAAAGTACTAGAAACAGAAACAGAATGACGAATGGTTTTTTTTTTTTTTTTTTTACTAGCATGTTTCGTATTTCTTTTGCAATTGTCACGCTTAGATCGCGGACTTCTATATAAATATATTTCTGCTTGTGCAATTAAAGCAATGCCATACTTTCAAATTTCCCATAAATGTGCGTAAATCCGCAATCTAAGTACATATGTTGAACGTGATTGTTCTCGTTTAATTTAGTAATCGTGCAAAGATTTTATTTAGAAAACACACGGTAATAATGAATTATTATTTATCTTTGTCTCTTGCAGATTTTAGTAACAACAACAGGATAGAACCACCGCCTCCAAGGCCGGCAGAACCAAAAACACCATACTCCGTGAACGAACCAAGTGATAAAACTAAGGAACAGGTGAATATGGCTGAGGTTTTTATGATTAACACTAAACGTACCAAGCGGGGTCAAACGACCCCTTTTCAAAATTTACTTTAAAATACTCGTACATTCGTTGTTATTTCTTTCGCTAATCTGACTTTTTGTAAATCCTTATATTATCTGATTATTCAATTTCTCGTCTTCTGTTTTTCTCTTAGCTTATTTTTGCATACCTTATGTACCGCGAGGGGTCATTTGGGCCCCTTATGGTAAGGTATATGTAAAAAGCCGGTACGTTTAGTGTTAATTGCAAACCTTTGTCAAGATATCTTCTACGAGATTGAAAATCCTTTAATTTATCGACGTAGTTCCCAAACTGTTGTGTCAAACCATCTTCCTAAAGTTGCCAAGTTTATCACTTTCTTGGAACTGAAGAAAATTTTTTGACAATTGTGGCAAGAGTGACTCGAAAGAACGTAACAAGTTAATTATTTATTTTGTTATATTAAATCTAATGTGAATACCTTTGAACGTGTTTCAACCCACACTGATGATTCATTGATCCGTTTAACAATGAAAAGATACGTCTTTCTTCTCCCCCTGATTCTACGCAAAGGGGAAACCCACCGAAACGCGTGGGCATTAAGACGGGTTATTAGATTTGTTTGAAAGCACACCTCTTGGCGAACATCCGAATTAAACGGATTAAACTGATTAAACGGTATCGCATTGCAGACGATCGTCGAGCCGGTAAACCGACCCGACAACGAGGTCGATGTAATCGAGCCCTTAGATGTCGAGGACGACCACTCGGACAACACCGACGACATCCACGACGTGTACATCATGAACCCGAAACACGAGGACCGTGCCAGCTCTTTCTTTGCTCAGCCAGGTGTATTGGCAGGTAAGTTTGCTTTTTTCCCCATTTTTCTTTTTTTTTTTTTTTTTGTAACTGGTTTTGCTAATGTTCTTTTTTAGATTTAAGACTAGCTTGAAATATTCTGCAATTTCTGTTTGAATAACTGGAGAAAAGTTATTGAAAATTATTAACTGAAAGAAAACTAAATTCAAATAAGAGACCTAAGTCGTAGTTATTTTTTGGAAAGGCTCTTCAAATACATTATTGTAATAATATAAATTGTGATGTATATATAATATACTATTTTTTATTTAATTACTTAGAGTAATATTCTAAGTTTGTAACTGGCAAGGCGACATGTTTCAATTTGAATCAACTTCTCTTTCAAAAATTTCTCGTACAGTTAGTTTTTAGACTACATGCTTCCATATTTTTTCAAATGATAAATACATTCAACATTGTTACGACTGTGTATAGCAAAATTTTTTATTTTTATTCAAACATTTGTTGCACGCCAGCAAAATAATTACATACGCTATTGTTCAATCACTGTAGAATTAGTAAAACACAGACACTTTGAA